AGCCAGCCATTTCTCTGATGACCTCAATTTTGGGTACAAATCCATATCATCAAAATCTTGAGGAGCTTTGGTACTGTAGGGATATTAATTAAGCAGGGTTTGAGCCAGCTTTGCTTTTTGACCTCATTCTCTTAGCTCTGTGACTCTGTGAGTGTGTGTGAATCTATGTGTGATCTTGTTACGGGGTTTTGGCAGCTTTTTGAAGGGCAATTGTTGGGAATATTTTAGGGTAAGAATATTAGAAAATAGAACTAGGGAAAGGGTTGGGTTGGGTTGGGTTGGGTAGAGTGAGCAACTGGAGAGGTTTTTGAATTGAATTCTACTTCTCTGTCGTAGTTCGAAGCAATAATAATGGCACGGAATTAGAGCCCTGCAACGCCGCCATGTAAACTGCACCCACCCTGCTCTTACTGCTCCTCACTTAACTTAACCCCTCTCCCTCCCTTCCCTCCTTCCCTCCTCATTTATGACAACTACTGCGCCAACTTGACAACTCTCTCTCTCTCTCTCTCTCTCTCTCTCTGTGTGTCACATATGCAAGTTTTCTGTGTATGAGTGAGAGAGAAACTGACTGTGAGCGACTGAAAGATCGACTGATGCCCGTTACCCAAAAAAAAAAGGATGGACTGATGAGTGAGGGGAACCAACAAAAAAAAGATCTATCACTCGCCAATTCTTCTCTCGGAGTCTTCTTCCAGTTTCAATGAACCTCCCCATCGTCGTTTCACCACCCAACGGTCATCATTCGTCCACGTGTCACTACATCAGCTTTTGCTTATTCGTCATTGCACCGGAAAACCCGCTGACCACTTTTTCTGACCAATCCCTATAATTAAGATTTTTTTTATTTTTACCCATTTTCAATTTCTCACCAAAAAAAAGGAAAAGAACATCGCGTAGTCATCCTCCCATGCTCCTTCAAAACCCTCCATCACCGACGTATATCTGCAGGCCACGTGTGTACTTTTAATGACATATTTTAATTTATATAAATAGATGGATGGTTTGTAGGAGGAGCGCCCGTGACATTATCCAACGAATTTCCCATAACACCGAAAATAAACATTTAGTGAGGTAACGTAATTTGGAGGTTTACGAAATTCTAGGGAAAGCCTTGCCTGTATTAGTTTTCTCATCGTCGGATGCCTCGTATTCCCCTCAAAATTCTTCGTGTAATCATTTTACGATTGACTAATTGATACGAAATTGGGTTTTTTAGTAATTGCATTAGGGTCAACATCTTTTGATGGGTATATTTAACAGAATTAGGCTCCAAGGGCTGTTCCTATGCGCTGTAGGGCATGCACCCAGATCTATGTTGGTTATATGCCAGCAGGCTCCAAAATCAAGTTTTTCAAACTCATCTCGTACTTGTACATTTGTCAATATTATTGGTACAGTAATAAACTGTATTAAAAGTTATTTACCCAAGGTGAAGGTGATATTAATTTTGGGTAGACACAGATTATACGGCACACTTTTTATATGCTAAACGTTGTTAACATGTGATTTGACTGCTGGTTAATCCCAAAATTTCATAATTGATTAGATTACATGAATAGGATGGGATGGGATTAAACCATTGTCTAAATTCATGCACCCTTTTCTCTTCTCTTCTTTTTTTATAAAAATAATATGTTGCTGTCACTTTTTTTTATTTTTTATTTTTTTTATTTTTAATGAAAAGTCACTTGTTTTCAATCCTACTGTTTTCGTGCGCATGACTTTTTTGGGTAGTAGCGCAACAGTTTGTATTGGAACAGTGCTTTTTGCACAAAAATATATGTACAGATGAGACACAAAAGGTTAAGACAAGAAAAAAAAAGGAAGAAGAAGAAGAAACAACGAAACACAAAGGTAATATAAAGAGGTCATTTTTAAGCTTTCTTTAGGAACGAATGCAATACATTCTAGTCTATACTTTTTGGTCCCTCGATTGAAGGGTATGTTTTCCTCTTTCTTTTTATTATTTAATTAAAATTAATAAAGTTTTTATGAAATTTAGTGGTGAACAAAAATATTTGACCCCTAAATAATATGGATATTTCAGATTGAAATGAAGAAATCATGGGTTGCCTGCCAATTAGCATGAGGTCCATGACTGGAGATAATTAAAGCATTTGACCAAAAGCTGCCAATTTGTAAGAGAAAATGCCTTTTTATCAAAGTAAATCACGTGAAGCCCCCGAATTAGTGCCCACTAATTATTGGATTTCAATTGGTATTATATCAAAAAGTACGGACTCCGGCCGCCTAGCCGTAGTCGCGCCGTACACTGATCTTGACTATGGTAAGTCGGTGTTGGTGAATGAGTGAGGCCTTGATTAAACAAAGAAAAGCTTCCATCTAATTAGTATTACTACTTTGAAAAATATTAATTATACTTTATTAGTCAAAAAAACCTCCCCGAAAATAGGGTAAAAAGTTAGACTAGGGAGCCTTGCTTTTATTACAAATACCACTCCAATCAAAATTTTGAGAGGGTTGTAGATGTGGGATATCTTTCGTTCATTTGTACTTAGTTTGTGTCCTATTACCATAGAGTGTATTAATCTAACATAATTTAGACTATAGCTAGATTTTTTTGTTGAGAAAGTTAAATTGTGGAACCAAATCATGTAGCTTTGAAATCAAATCAATTGCGCCACCTAGGTGTTGATGTGGAAATGGGACATTTGGACGAGGAAGACAATAATCAACCATCGAAATAAATAAAGAAAAAGGTTGAGAAGAATTCCAGGAAAAAGAAAAAATTTTGAATTGATGGAGAGAGAAAAGAACAAAGAAAAGCTTCCATCTAATTAGTATTACTACTTTGAAAAATATTAATTATGCTTTATTAGTCAAAAATACCTCCCCGAAAATAGGGTAAAAAGTTAGACTAGGGAGCCTTGCTTTTATTACAAATACCACTCCAATCAAAAATTTGAGAGGGTTGTAGATGTGGAATATCGCTCGTTCATTTGTACTCAATTTGTGTCCTATTACCATAGAGTGTATTAATCTAACATAATTTAGACTATAGCTAGATTTTTTGTTGTTGAGAAAGTTAAATTGTGGAACCAAATCATGTAGCTTTGAAATCAAATCAATTGCGCCACCTAGGTGTTGATGTGGAAATGGGACATTTGGACGAGGAAGACAATAATCAACCATCGAAATAAATAAAGAAAAAGGTTGAGAAGAATTCCAGGAAAAAGAAAAAATTTTGAATTGATGGAGAGAGAAAAGGGAAGGATGGAGTGGAGGGGTTTTAATTGGAGATATGAATTGATGTGTGGAAGTCCCAATTATTGTGTCTAAGTAGTCTTTCACTCTCGAGCCCAGTGCTTTCTTCTTCAAGTTGACTCTTCCTCTTTATCTTCTTCGTCTTCTTTCATTTCCTTTTTCTCACTCCTCCTCTCGATGAGCCGGATGTCAAAAGCTCAGTTTTTACCAACAACGGCCATGCTCTAGTTTCCCCCAGCCCCCCCCATCCATGCTTCTTAACATCATAGATAGGCCATACCCAATCCCACGTGGAAAGACCTTCTTCATCTTTTTATTTTCTTTACATTGATTTACCTAATTACGTAAATGTAAATAGTAGGAACTTGCCTGCCCAATACGTAATTACGTGAATAGTAAAGGTGGGGCCGGTGAGAGTAGATGTAGAGGTGGTCCCCTCCGTATATTGTTGTAGGGTAGGGGTGGGTCCAAGTTGAAGTTGGGGTGGGGTCTCAGTGTCAAGTGCATGTGCCCACTGCCCGACATCATGAGAAGTTAGTTTTTTAGGCTGAATTTATAGACGCTAGGTTCGCCTTTATAAAGCAGAGATTACTGGTATATTAGCCGATAATAATATGTCATTATGTCTCACGAAAGGTTACACACCCACATTATATCCTCCCTCTCTTTGCCAAAGGCTCACTCACTCACTCACTCACTCACTCAGCCTAGAGCAAAACAACACACGAAAGGAAATAATGCAAAAGGATATACACAAATTAAAAAATAAAAAGAAGGAAAGGAACCAAAAGGATGAAAAAGGGAGAAATGCCTCTGCCTCCTCGACTTTTTATAAAAACGAAAAGGAACATTCTTGAATTAAAAAGTTTGAATTATTTCATATAATTATAGGATAATGTATTCCTCAATTTTAAGAAACACTGTGCTAGTTGTATGAGGCTTATAATTCAAGTGGTAAAGAGCAAATGCCGATGCACCCGAAGTTCCTCTCCGTTACTATTGCTTATACATTTTTAGAGTGTTATTAAACGAATCCTAAAATTAACTAAGTACACCTTATGACCTAAGTACTCTCTAATTTTAAAAACAAAATATAAAATTAACTAAGAAAAACTGCGCTACAAAGAACTTATAGTTTAAGTGGTTAAGGGCAGCTAAAAATAATAATAATAATAAAATGGGGTCAAACTAACCCCTCAGAAAGGGAACTTGGGCCCAAAGTCTAAAGAGAATGCATATGAAGGAACTTATACATTTTTAAAGTGTTATTAAACGAATCCTAAAATTAACTAAGTACACCTTATGACCTAAGTACTCCCTAATTTTAAAAACAAAATATAAAATTAACTAAGAAAAACTGCGCTACAAAGAACTTATAGTTTAAATGGTTAAGGGCAGCTACCGGTGCACCTGAGTTCTCTCTCCCCTACTATCGCTTACATAAAAAAAATAATAATAATAAAATGGGGTCAAACTAACCCCTCAGAAAGGGAACTTGGGCCCAAAGTCTAAAGAGAATGCATATGAAGGAACTAGGCCTGGTAAAAAGGCTTTAGACAGAAACTCAGCGTACGAATCTGGGTAACAGAGGCCCACAACAGTAACAACAGAGAACAGGCCATCTCTTCAACCAGGTTAACGAAACTCAGTGTACGAATCTGGGTAACAGAGGCCCACAACAGAAACAACAGAGAACAGGCCATCTCTTCAACCAGGTTAACCCAGGGGGGTTGGTCTAACCCAATTTAGTAAAGTTTAAAGGATACAATTAATTATAAATAAATTCATGACATAAATTTATAAATTACAACCACCAAAGCGTAGCATTTAAATAAACACATAAATTATTATACAACGTCAACATCAGGCAACACGACATGAACTTATTAACCCCATGATCTACATTATCTAGGAGATCAGATCAGACTATATTTACAAAGCCCCCATATATTATCTAGGGATTGGATGTATGCAGAGAAGCAACAGTGGAAACCAAGGAATCCACCCCACATGAGTTATGACCTCTGCAGATCTTGTAATAGCCCTCCTCTCCCCAACTCTGTCCCCATGAGTTCTTCAAGATCCAGTAAGGCTTCTCCTTTAATCGGATCGGAGCAAAACCAGAAGAACCATACCCCACCAGAAGCACTCCATGATCGATACGCTTTCCACAGATGTAAGGGCATGAAACTCCCTTTACGTATGTTTGCATGAACACGGCATTGATCCCAACTGCACCCACCATGCGAAACAAATTCAAGATTCATTGTCATTGTCTCCAGCTACATTGTTTAATTCTACTAAAATGGTACAAGTAAAAGATCAAAAAGAGAGAAGAATCCATTTCTACGAATGCTAAACTAAAGTACCTGCAAGAGGGCCATGGTGCACCAAATTTGCAGCAATTTGATCTTCGTCTGTGGAAATAACGCTGAAGTTAGATACAGCAGCAACAACTTTGCTCTTGTCAAATTTGCAGGTATCATCAGTCCCAGTGTAAGGATAGTCCTTCTCTCGCTCTAGTCCACCAGCCTTGAGTGTGTACTCGAATGCATTGTTCATCAGCCCACCATTACACCCCGAGTCGCATGAACCATATTCTTCTGGATCACACTGCAAAAGGTACAGGCTTTGATATAAGAGAATGCCATGGTGACAGTGAAATCGCTGTCTTCCCTAATCCCTGTGTTGAGATAAGGATTAAGGAAGCAACCCAACTTCCCAAATTAACACACACTGACACTTGCAGAGCTTTATCTAAATCTGTGGCTTCCCTATCCCTAATCCCAATGTTGAAATAAGGATTAAGGTAGAAGCCGGCTGCCCAAATTAACACACGCTGACACTGCCTCTGCCACTAGTACATGTCAAAGTCACAGTTTTTTTCTGCACCATGAATGTTTACCAAACAGCATACTGTCTCGAACAACACATATTTCTCTTAGTTTACGGTATCTTCAATAAAAATCAAATATTCAAACGCATGTCATATTGGAAAAGTAAATGGAAGAACAAAAACAATACAATTTATTCTAACACACCAGAAATCGTTAGAGACACTGCAATACAGTCAAATTCATACACTGAATGAAGCAACTAGCTTTCAGGTTTTGTTCAACTCAATTAGGAAAAGTTTAATACTTTTTAAGTATAGCAAAGATCAACAGAATATTCATTCTCTTAGCAAGATAACTAAGATTAAATATACACACAGGGTAATCAAAGTAATTAATGGTAAAAAAATGTAAAAGAGTAGAACCTCATGGTCGCAGTCCACAAGCTGCTGCTCACTCAGACTCAAGAGCTCCCCAGTTTCCAAATAATGAGCTCCTTCCAAAGCTCCCGTCGCACTAAATGCCCAGCACGACCCACAAGACCCCTAATTTCACCGTCACACCCCCCGAAAACAAAGTTAACAATCAATAAACATACCAAAAACCAAAAAAACAAAAATATTTACCTGGTCCTTCACCGGTGTGACAGCACCTTTGTCGCGCCAATCGAAGTCGGTAGGAAGATCATTGGTAGGAAGGATGGGAGCCTTGTTAGCGTCTGATGGCAGCCGGAGACGCTTTAGTCCGAGAAAATTCCGTCGAAACTCCGACGGAGTGAGATCGGAGAACTTGGTGACACCGTGGACGGCAGTGGGGTCGAGCCCCTGGTGCCGCTTGGCTCGGCGCAGGTTCGCCTTGAAGACGCCAAACCTGTAGTCGTGCTCCTCTTGAGTCGCGTAGGTCTTTCCGAACGTAGCTTTGAAGCTGGAGAAGTGGCGCTCGGCGTGGAGGAGTAGATTGTCGTTGGCTTCCGGTACGACTTGTTGGATCAGAGGGTCATCGTCGTTGGGAGTTACAGGGGACGCGAGCGCAGAGCTTAGGAGAGAAAGGAAGAGGAGGAGGGAGAAGAGAGTGGTGGGCCGATCCATTGCTAGTGTGTGTGAGTATGAGGAGCGTTGAGAAGCCTTAAAATGAAGGGATTTTATTAGATTTTTCAGAGATATCGGATATTTTGGGTTTGGTTATTTGTGTGGGTGTGCTTCCCAGAAGATTGTAACTTTGTAAACACGTGGTTTGTTTTGGTTCGTATGTTTGTCATCAAGTTGAGCTAAAAACGAAATACGAGTAAGAGATGGGTTGGTTCCCTTTGCTACATACGACTTTTTGGTACATGGTGATGGCTTCTACTCCATTATTGTTGCTTGTCATCTAGCGTCCCTCCATAAAAATGTCCCCTTCCTTAATTTAATTCATTTTGTTTAATTTGAATTGTGAATTTAGGCCAGAGATGCTCAAAAAATTGGAGGCAACACTTATTTTTATTTTTATTTTTTACGAGTTATATTCTAAACTATTTAAAGTACGAAAAGAGAAACGAACTCGAGTGTAATAAGGCGAGCACACTCCCTCGGTCAACTGACCTAACCCACATTTGTAAAATCCAACGTATTAAAGGCATGTCATATTGGGTCGTCATACTACATTCAAGTATTGGTGAACTGAAATCTATATGGGGCAAATCGGCCCAATTCTTGTTAGGTAGTGTTTGGGGTTAGCTCAACTTAATTTTGGGCCTACTTGGGTAGCCCAACTTTGAGCATACAAAAGAACCAACAAAGCAAAAGGCGGGACAGGTTCCGAGTCTTCTGACCCAAGACTGCACGGTAATTTACCAGACGCCTACACAAACGCGGCGTTTTTGGTAATTCTATAATTACTTTTACCGCCTGCTTTCAGGGGTATAGATCAGGCGTACACAAGCCTACGCTAACCCAGAGATTTATTGGTTGCAACCGGGTAAAAGTCAAATAACCAACGATTATTCTTCTCTTTCAATTAACAGTTCGACGACACGTACAAAATTTGCGTGATTTAAAGGCTGCTGTGCGTCGGGTTTAATTAGTTAAGGCAGAGGCGCAAAGGCAAAGAGAAGAGAGCGTCTCCTTTTCTTACAAATTTTGACTTGCGGTTAGCTTTGGGGGTCTCTGGTCAGCCAGAAACAGCAACAATCCCTAAGATTTTGGGAGGTTTTGAGAAGTGAGACAAGTGAGACGATGGAGGAGGAGCGTGGTAATGGTAGTAGTAGTAGCAGGAACTTGGACACAGGGAAGGCCGAGAGCCCGGTGTGGCTGATGAAGTGCCCGGTGGTCGTAGCCAAGTCATGGAACTCTCACAATCCCTCTGATCCCCACCCTCTCTCCAAAGTCGTCCTCTCTCTCGATCCCCTCCGCGCCGACGACCCCTCTTCCCTCGAGGTTCTTATTACTTTTTTTTGCAATTCGATCGCTTTTCTGAGTATACTTGGTGTGCTTTCCGAGTTCTTGTTATGAATTTGTTAATTAGGGCTAGAATTTTGAACATTTTAGCTTCAGTTCAATTACCTTGCAGCTTAAGCTTAATTGCTACTTATTCTTTGGTAAAACCCTAATTTCTGTTGTGCTCGACCACTGATTGCTTGTGTTTTTGTGATCATAGTCTCATTCTTACAATTTGATTGATTGGAGTTTTGTAGCTCATATTGATTTCAAAGCCGAATGCTTCTTCCTTTCTATTCTCCATTGATTGTTTGCTTATGCTCTCTAATTTTGCAAGCAGTTCAAAATGGAGATGGCTGGCAGCAGTGGGTCTGCGAATTTGCCTAAAAGTTATTCCCTGAATATGTTTAAAGACTTCGTTCCCATGTGCGTTTTCTCCGAGACAAATCAAGGTGAGGATCAGGAATTACATCTTCTGGCACTCATCCTATTTATACTTTTTCTTTCGTAAATACCTAATGTAATTCTTCCTTTTTTGTTTAAATAATGCACTTTCAAGCTAATGTTTCAACTTTGTGTTGATTGCAAACATTTCTTCTCTTTCATGATGGTGTTTATGGTTTCATGATATGTCGGCATGATTTTAGCACTGATGGCGCTGTGCCTAGTCTAAGTAGCGAGATTTTTTATATTTGACCATGGCACATTAAACAAATATGGAAAAAAATTGGGTTTTGGGCTGTTGAAATTGATTGGTCGAAGACATATGATGTAATTCTGTTGTAGATTACGAACATGCATGCCCGGGTATCCAACTACTTAGGCTAACCTGTACAACTTTATTGCCTAATTGCTTTATCTATTATCTAGCGCCATTTTGTCTATCAAATCCTATGTTATGACTGTGCCTTTATCTTTCCTCCTCAACCATTTTACTAGCCTTTATCTCATAGTTGTAGAACATTTTACTTCTTCACCCTTTTATTGTAGTAAAAAAATCGTCTTCATTTTAGGCAAGGTTTCTATGGAAGGGAAAGTAGAGCATAAATTTGACATGAAGCCCCATGGTTCAAACATTGAGGAGTATGGAAAGTTGTGTCGTGAAAGGACAAACAAGTCAATGATCAAGAATAGGCAAATACAGGTAGCCATTATCTTCCATACATTTCTGAGATAACAGCTCTCGTTGTATATGAATAATTGATTTTATTTGTCTCTCTTGTTGCTTTAATTCATTTTAAAGGTGATCGACAATGACCGAGGAATACATATGAGGCCCATGCCTGGTATGATTGGCTTGATTTCATCCACTTCCAAGGTATCAACTTCCTTCCTATTCATTCTTTGCACAAACTAATACCAAAACAGGGAATAAGTTTTTGAATTATCTATGGCAGGATAAGAAGAAAACTCAACCGGTTAAACAATCAGACATGAAAAGGACTAGAAGAGACCGTGGGGAACTGGAGGATATCGTGTTCAAGTTATTTGAAAGACAACCAAATTGGACTTTGAAGCAGCTTGTGCAAGAAACCGATCAGCCTGCTGTATGTCTCTTAGCTGTTTGCTTATGCTTAGCTAAATGCTATACTCAGATCTTGTTAGTTCGTTTTATGAATAGCTCAGATCTTTACATAAATGTCTTTGCATTGGGTTAGAAACTTATTTCATATTGTGTTAACTGAACAGTGGTTACATTTTTTAAATGTTCTCTTCATGTGCAGCAATTCTTGAAAGAGATATTGAATGAGCTCTGCGTGTACAATAAAAGAGGAACTAACCAGGGTACTTATGAGCTTAAGCCGGAGTACAAGAAATCTGTTGAGGATACTGCTGAATAAGCTTTTCTCTCTGCCTAGTTTAGCACCCTCCAATCTTTCTTCGGAGAACAGGTAGTTCAAGATTAATCAGCAAGAAGAAAGGGTGGCCCGTCGTGTGCGGGCAACAGAGTAACACCATCGACAAGAACTGTAACATGGGAGGCAATAGCTTACTTTTTATTTTCCTATATTTTTTTACAGCCCGAAAGGTGCAGTTATAAACTTATAATCTTTGTTTGATCTGACAAGAGACGGTTAAATGCTTCCATAAACAGATAAACTTACTAGGCAAGCATGTGTGATTTGAAATTAGCTTGTACATTAAAACATTCACCAAGGATTTTAATTGAAAAATTTGAGAACAGTTTTGATACTTACTGGACAAGTGCGTATCGCCTCGAATATCCATCACCCATTTAAAATTTCAAAACAAATGCACATTTCTGAGGTTTTGGATTGGAATTATCCTCCCCATATAGATACATCATTACAATTTACATACCCGAGATGAATGCCTCTCCCCAAGTCAGTGTGGGGTATTTGCTCCTCCTAATCAAGTTTTTGTGTACCTCTCTCATCTTCCTTTCTTCGGACACGTAAGGCCAACTTAAGGATGGGCCCAGACTAATTGAACATTTGGGCCTGAGATTTTGGTCCAAATTGGATCAGCCATTGTTTAAGAGGCGAGTAGCCGCTAATAAACTGGGCTAGTCAATGGGTATGCTTTTCTACATTGATACTGCAACATTTGGTTAATTTTTCTTTCTGATATAAAATTAACCCGAAGGAGACAGATGATCGAACCCTAATTTCAATGCAAAACTCAGTGGAAGACTTGAATTATTGGGGGAGGCCTTGGAATGCGACCTGTATCTTAATCAAGCGAGCAAATGAAGACGATTGAGGATCACTTTTGCATTGTCTTTCTTTCTTTGAACCTTTTTTTATTTTGCTTTCAATAAATGAATAATGAGTTTGTATGAATATGGAATACGAAACCTAACTGTTTGAAAATTTAAAGCAGCGGCCGCCACTAGACCAACATGTAGATTTGCTATTCAAAATTTTATGATGCCCATGCTATGCCTTTTTTTCTCGAATATCATCATTACGTGCTAGCTGCACATTATTATTTCTAGGCACAAATGCATATACAGATATTATTCATCATGTCAAGTCAAACAAATGGTTAGATTCTTTCGCATATATATGTATGCAGGTCAGTTTCCCAATCCATGTTTATTTAAATTAATTACTTTACTTAGTATAGTAGTGTGTGTGTGAGAGAGAGAGATAATAGAAACCCTAATCCAATATTTCATGCATGGGTTACGGTGTGATTAGACTAGTGGGAGTCTTAATAACAAGGGAAGATTTCTTGGTAATTGACATTTATAATGACGTGACAAAATAAATGAACCCCACCAACTAGTACTACCGAGTGTGAGAGTGAATGTTTCAATATAAATTGCATGAAGATACACATTATTTAATTAATTATGCCTAGCTAGAATTAATGAGGTCTATCGAGGCCTTGTCAATTGTCAAGCACCCAAGGGCCACTGATTTCAGCGTATACAGGAGCAAGAAATTGACCAACTAGGAATCTTGTTTGTCACCTTTGGAAGATTTTAAGAGCAAACTTTAGCACCACGAAAGTAAGATTCCAATACTATCTATATCTATCTTCTCATTCTCAAACAACATGATCAACTGAGCGAGCGAGCGAGCGATGGAGGCATCAACTTGTTCATGGAAATGCACTAGTTAGTGGGTTGGGTTGGGATAGCCCAGCGTTGGGACCCTTCCTTTCTCATTAATGCTGCAATTCATGAAAGCGAAGGCTAATGGGAACTCTGTCACTCCCATGAACGTGGATGCCAAAAGTGGCAAACCAATTCATTCATGGAGTTAGACACACAGAGAGATATATATTGAGGCATTTATGAAGGTAAAGTTAAACGAAACCATTT